TACCTAGGTGGCTCCCAGCCAGCCGCTTTGCAGACTCCCTGCCTTTGTGCTGGGCAGCTGCTCCACATGGCTCTGCTCCAGCACAGGGAAGAAGGGGGGAATGAAGGAGTGAGGAGGCTTCATTCACTGCCCCTGCCTTCAGCAAAATTTCTCAGCTCCTATGACCAGAAACTGGCCAATGGGAGCTGGAGGATTTTGCTAAGGGGCAGGGACAGCGCCCATAAAAATGTTTCCTATTAAGAATAAGACTGAATTGGAAGAAGGAGAGTGTGTTCAAAACCAGACAGTAGTCATATAAAGCTAGTACTACACTAACTCAAAATGGCAAACTAGAAAATGGGGAATAACTAGTTACGTAATAATACTGCTGAAAAAAAACTGGATATGAGCCAACAATGTGATGCAGTTACAAAGGAGTCCAGGTCATATTAACACAGACCGGTGATCAGTTGTTCATCATGTCCTCTGAAGATAGATTTAATGTGTAGTATGCAAAATCTAGGTTAAATATTATTAAGAAGTCTTTCTAACTATAAGTATACATAAGTACTGGAAAACATTTCCAAGAGAGGTTGTGGAATCCTGGTCATTGGTGGAGGTTTTAAAGAACAGTTTAGAACATGGTGGCCAATAATTTTTAATGGGAGACCACTCTAAGATTTTGGTAGATGATCAAGGGCTACACTTCTGTGGAGAGGGCACAGGGTCTGGGACAGCAGGTGGCATGTAGAAGGGATCTTGGGATGGAGGACTAGGGTGCAGGAGGGAATGTGAGGTCTAAGAGGGAGTTTCGGTGAAGAAGAGGGTGATGATCTGAGGCAGGGGCTTGGGGAGAAGGGTTCAGGAGGGGTTATGAGTGCAGGAGAGGTCTCTGGCCTGGGGAAGGGATGTAGGAGGGTGTACAGGGTTTGGGAGGGAGTTTTGACCTGGGCGAAGGAGTGCAGAGGGTTTGGGAGGTGACATGGGGCAGAGGAATGGGGTGCAGGGTCAGGCAGGGATATTGATGCAGGAAAGGATTCTGGCCTGGGGGAAGGGTGCAGAAGGGGGTGCAGGGTCTGGGAGGGAGTTGTGACCTGCAGGAGGTGGGGTAGAAGTAATACAGAGGGTTTAGGTGGTGATCTGGGGCAGGGAGCTGCGGGGGGGGGGGGGGGGGGGGGGGGGGGAGTCAAAATGGAATCTCCGGGGCTGGACTCACTTGTGAGCCCGGGTCTGCATGTGTACCTAGGTGGCTCCCAGCCAGCCGCTTTGCAGACTCCCTGCCTTTGTGCTGGGCAGCTGCTCCACATGGCTCTGCTCCAGCACAGGGAAGAAGGGGGGAATGAAGGAGTGAGGAGGCTTCATTCACTGCCCCTGCCTTCAGCAAAATTTCTCAGCTCCTATGACCAGAAACTGGCCAATGGGAGCTGGAGGATTTTGCTAAGGGGCAGGGACAGCGCCCAAAGCTTTCTCCTCCCTGCCCAGACAGCATAGCAATTAGCAGCCTGCTGTTTAAAGCAGCTGCAGCTGCTGTGTAGTAAGGATACCGGTGACTTGTCAAGCCAGATCTGGCTTGCTAGCCATCTCTTGCCCACCCCCGGTTAAGACAAAAGTCTATCATAGGGGTCAAGGTATATTTGGTCCCAACTCAGGGCAAAGGGATGGACTAGATGACCTCTCAAAGTATCTTTCAGCCTTATATTTCTATGATATTTATGAATGGGTATCATCTAAATTATTGATTTATTTAATCAATATACAAATCAATTTAGGGGTTTGGAAAGGGTCCCATATGAAAAGAGATTAAAAAGACGTGGACTTTTCAGCTTAGAAAAGAGGACACTAAGGGTGGATATGATAGAGGTCGATAAAATCATGACTGGTGCAGAAAAAGTGAATAAGGAAAAGTTATTTACTTCCCATAATATAAGAACTAGGGGTCACCAAATGAAATTAATAGGCAGCAGGTTTAAAACAAACAAAAGGAAGTTTTTTTTCACTCAGCGCACAGTCAACCTCTGGAACTCCTTGCCAGAGGATGTGGTGAATGCTAGGACTTGAACAGGTTCAAAAAAAGAGCTAGATAGATTCATGGAAGCTAGGTCCATCAATGGCTGTCAGGATGGATAGGAATGGTATCCCTAGATTCTGTTTCTCTGGAGGTGGGTGACGGGAGGGATTGCGTGAGAATTACCTGTTGAGTTCCCTCCCTCTGGGGCATCTGGTATTGACCATTGTCAGCAGACAGGATACTGGGCTGGATAGACCTTTGGTCTGACCCAGTATGGCTCTTTTTATGTTATGCAGAATATTGATTAAGTAAGATTGAAATTGCCTTACAAAACCTTAAGAAAAGTTAATATTTGTAATTCAGCCATTGTTTTCTTTCCCAACAAAGTATAAGAGGCTGACTGAGTTTGAGAGTGCAATTGACATTACTTATGCCTTTTTCCACATTCAAGAAGAATTATGACGGTCCAGCTGAGGGTATATCTACACTACAGAGGTTTTTTTCCAGAAAAACAGCCATTTTTCTGAAAAAACTTCAATTACATCCACACTACAATCACGTTCTTCTGAAAGAAAATCAAAAGAACAGAGGGTTTTTTCCTGACATTGATAATCCTCATTCTATGAGGAAGAAACCTTTTTTCGAAAGAGCTCTTTCAGAAAAAGGTGTGTATGGATGGGTAAGAGGGAGTTCTTTTGAAAGAAGAGGAAAAAGGAAAAAGCACAGGTGCCCTGGTGGCCACTCCATCCATAGTAATCACAGCTTACATGCGAGATAGCTTCCATTTATTGTGGACGCTATCTTTTGGAAAAGCAGATCACTTTTTTAATGCGCTTTTGCAATGTGGACACTCTCTTTTGGAAGAAGTTTTTTCGGAAGATCTCTTCCGGAAAAACTTCTTCCAAAAGAATCCTGCAGTCTACACATAGTATTTTCTCTACTAACTCAGGCTTTCTCATGTTCCCCACACCCACACGTGATATTTTCTTCACTTAATTTCAGTGGATACTTTAATTCCTCTTCAATGTAGAAACTGTTATTGCTCATGGTGTTCTTAGGTCCAATAGTTTACAGTCCACCAAACTGAGAAACACTTTGGCTGATCTGGACAATTTATTTCTGGACAAGTGATTTTTTAAACACTCTTCTTTAGCTCGTTGACAAAGAAATATTTTATTCTCTAAAACCATTGAAAATATTGAAAATGTAAATGAATAGAAAGAAAAATAACAGAAGAGGAACAACAAATTCTAGGCCTTTACTTACATCTGATGTACTCCATAAGTCACAGATTCCAGCAAATGACACACTATCTGGCAGGAAAGGAATCAAAGCAACATATCGAGCCACCAACTCCTACAAATAAAAATAAAGAAAAGAACACAGCCACATTCTCATTTACTATATTGGATGAGAAAGGTAACATTCTTATTAGTCCTAACTATATCTGAAACTTATTGCTGCTCACACTCAACGTCAATGGTAAAATATCCACTGACTTCCATATAGCAGGAACAGGTCCCTTTTGCAACCCCATGTAAAGGCTTGAGCTGACTGTTGAGTGGGAGTCAGCTCAGAACCATAAAGCCAGATGCACATATTTTTGTTTCTTTAAAGTACAACATGCATTACGTTTATCTAATTTTGGGGGGATAACAAGCTACTGAACATTTATTTCTACCATTTATAATTAGGTATACTGACAAAATAATTCCTCTAAGGAATGAGCTATATTTACAATTACATAGAGATCTAATAGCTGTTTATTTTGCTGTTACATTCTATTTTTCCCAATTGTATGAATGATTGTTGTTACATATTCAAGGTTTCTAACACTGAGAACAAAAATTTTGAAAACTGTTCTCCCAAGTTCCATGTCCACAATAAGAAATTGGTGTTTTTATCATGTTGGCTAATGTGGGAAAAGTACATCTTTTGATATAAGTTGCCACAGAACTTGATAAAAATGAAGCAGCAAGACATTAGGCTCACTTTCTAATTAATAAAAAAGTACTAAATGCCAAGTCTTATTCAGATGCAAAAATAAAATAAAAGTTAAAGCTCTAATTTAATTCAGGATATATCTGATCTTGTTATTTTAAGGCTTTTATCACGATTTTAATGCAAAATATTGTAAATGAAGTATATTTGGTACCAGCCTCCTCCTACACTGATTTCAGACTGATTTAAAAATAAAGGATTAGTTTTTCATAGAAATCATGGAAGTGGAAAGAACTTAGGTCATAAAGTCCAGCCCCCTGCACTCATGCAGGACTTAGAACTATTTAGAGCACCTATGACAGGTGTATTTGTCTAACCTGTTTTAAAAATATCCAGTGATGGAGTTTCCACAACCTCACTGGGCAATTTATTTTAATTTAACTACTCTCAAAGTTAGGAAGTTTTTCTTAATGTCTAACAAACTTCCCTTGCTCCAATTTAAGCCCATTGCTTCTTGTCCTATCATCAGAAGTCAAGGAGAATATTTGTCCCCTCTCTGGTATGTCTAGACTGCAGAGCTTTTCCAGGATACCAGAGATATCTTAGAAAAACTCTGCTGCGTCCAGGAATGACTCCACTTTTTTGAAACAGTTTCTGAAAAAACAGGTGCGTTCTTTCTGCATCCCTGTATTCCTCATTTTATGAGGAATAAGGGATGTTCCAAAAAAGGAGGTTTTTCTGACATTTGGCCCCGTGTAGATAGCCCAAATGTCAGAAAAGCCTCTTCCAAAAACACAAGTGGAAAGAGATACGCAAATTGCAATTTGTGTATATTTTTCCGAAACCACCCCTACAAAACCCGGCAGTGTAGACATAGCCTCAGTCTTTTCCAGAATAAACAAACCCAATTCTTTCAATTTTCCCTCATAGGTCATGTTTTCATTTGTGTTGCTCTTTTCTAGACTCTCTCCAGTTTGCCCACATCTTTCCTGAAATGTGGTGCTCTAAAAAGAACTGAGCACAGTACTCCAGTTGAGGTCTAATCAGCGTGGAGTAAAGCGGAAGACTTACTTCTTGTGTCCTGCTTACAACACTCCTGCTAATACTCCCCCAGAATGACGTTTGCTTTTTTTTTCAGCAGTGTTACACTGTTAACTCATATTTAAGTTGTGGTCCACTATGACCCCTAAATCCCTTTCAGAAGTACTCCTTCTTAGACAATAGCTTCCCATTTTGTATGTGTGAAACTGATTGTTCTGTCCTAAGTAGAGTACTTTGCATTTGTTCTTATTATTATACTATTTCCCTCAGGCCATTTCTCCAGACCATTTTGAATTACAATCCTATCCTCCAAAGCACATGTATCACCTGCAAATTATATAAAATTGTGCTCTCTATGCCATTATCTAAATGACTTATGAAAATTTTGAATGCAACAGATATGGATCCAGAATTGATTCCTGAAAAACCCCATCCATTATGCTCTTCCACCATGACTGTGAACCATTGATAACTACTCTCTGAGAAAGGTGATCTAACCCGTTATGCATCCACCTTATAGTAGCTCCATCTAAGTGGTACTTCCTAGTTTATTAATGAGAAGGTCATATGAGACAGTATCAAATGCCTTACTAAAGTCTAGATATAACACATCTACCACTTCTCCCTTATTCATAAGGTTTGTTACCCTGTCAAAGAAAGTTATCAGGTTGGTTTGACATGATTTGTTCTTGACAAGTACATTTTGACAATTATTTATCACCCTATTGTCTTCTACATAAGTTAAACAGACTGGTCCATAGTTTCTTTATTTCCTTTTTTTATAGTGCTTATTTCCCATTTTTATAGATGGACACTATATTTGCCCTGTTCCAATCTTCTGGAATCTCTCCTGTCTTCCACGATTTTTTTAAATATAATAGCTACTGGCTCAGATATCTCCTCAGTCAGCTTGAATATTCTAGAATGCATTTAATCTGGCTCTGATGACTTGAAGACATCTAACATATCTAAGTAATTTTTAACTTGTTCTTCCCCTATTTTAGAAACATAGATTACTAGAACTGGAAGGAACCTGGAGAGGTCATCAAGTCTAGTCCCCTACAATCATGGCAGGTTCAAGCACCATCTAGACAACCCTGACAGGTTTTTGTAAAACCTGGTCTTAAAAATCTCTAATGATGGAGACTCCACAACCTCCGTTGGCAATTTATTTCAGTGCTTATCCCTTCTGATCCTATCCTTTTTCACATACTAGGTGAATCATCAACTGTGCATCCTCACTAAGTCACCAAAGCTATATTTTTGTGCTGTGACTTTCTTACACAGTATATTTATTAAAGATAATGTTTTATTGGTCTCTATTTGCTTTTTTTCTATTTTATTTTGTTCTTTGCCTTTTAAACATATTTAATTCTTGTACTTATTTACAGGCAAATTTGCATCTGCCAGATTTTGAAACAGGTTTTTATTGTGTCTTTTTCTAACATATTGTTCAATATGTTATTATTCATTTGCGTACTTTGTACTACAGATATTCAATATTTCTTTACTTTGTACCCATATATTTCCCCCTTGCAATCTAAGTTTTTGTACAAACATAAAAAATAACGTACGCAGAAAGTCTTATGTTTATATCTTGTAAACTGAACTATCTTTTTGAATAAAATACTTACTGCTGCTGCTTGAGAATTATTAGTATGACCATTAAGTAGCTCCTGTGGTGGGTTCAGAGGTTTGATATATCTGGTAATAAAAACTGTTTTCCCATTTAAGTCGACTACAGTTATCAGGCATTGGCGGCTTGGAAACTTCAATGTACATTCAGCCTGATACTTCTCTGCTGCTTGGAGCAACTTCTCATCTTCCTGGGTATCAAACTTCAAAAGACAGTACAACTTATATAAAAATACTGTTTTAACCATACAATTTGAGCTTAATTCTCCACTACCTTGTAGCCCGTGCCTCTTAATTTACCCCGACAGAAAGTGAAGGCAAAGTCGATGTAAAATTCTGCTCAGATATTTCAAAAACTTACCTTCCACTCTCTTTATGTAGGAGTAAATTTAATTGTAAGGTCATGGAGAATCAGGCTTTTTGTATTTACTCTTATATGCACTCACACATACACATATATGTTGTACATACTTTGTACAGTCTTAACTCACATATTGAAAGTTCAGTGAAAGTTTTGCCAAACTTCATTTTAAATAAAGTAAAATATTATGTCCAACACAAAAGATTTCAACATTGTCTTTATTTATGAAAGGGATGGGGAATTTTCTTTGGGTTGGGGGCCACTGAACCACAGAAAAATCAGTTGGGAACTACAAAATAACCCCCAAGCCTCACTTATAAAAACCCTCAAGGTGGTTTTTGGTGCATATCGGCTTCCACCTGTCAGTTCCACTCCTGAGGAGCTGGCTGCACCTTGCACTGCTGACTCTGATAAAAACAGCAGCATGGGGTGGCAGCCAGCTCCCCAGGAGCTGGTGTATGCCAGGAGCTGGCTTTTAGCTGACTACTGGCACAGACAGTTTTCTGGCCCTGCTCCCAGGAGCCAGCTGCCGCCCTGCGCTGCAGGTTGTGATACAGAACCAGCAGTGCAGGATGGCAGCCAACTCCCCACGGGTGCGGTCAGGAGCCAGCGTATAACCATTATGGTAACCAATGAGCTCATGCTTATCAATTAACCATTTAAACAGTCATACCACTACATCCCTAGTAGTTATCTTTATCGTTTCAATTTAAAATTATAAAATAGTCATTTTGTGAAAAATATTTAACTTACATATTATATCAGCATAAAAGAGTTTTCATGTTTCATACAGTATGCACATGGTCAAACACAGATAAAGAACTGCTGCCACTAAAGGTAGTGGAAAAAATTGCAAAGCAAAAGCAAAATGAATCCTAAATAGTAAACAGCATTATTTGTTGACTAATTTTAAAAATCACATATATTGTACCTTCTTAAGAATTTCATTCATCTAGAGAGAGATTTAGGAAGGCCAAAAAGAAAAAAAAAGATGATAAATAAAAGACAGAAAATGTATTATAAAACAAATTGAGAAGCTTAAAACAATCTATAAACATTTCAAGCAACTTAGCTACAGCAGGAAAGCTAAGAAACATTAACAATGGAAGGGAAATATTCAAGTATTTTTTTCATGTTATATTGAAAAATGTCTATATTAAAGAGGTTTAAAAGAAACAAAAAAGAGGGAGATTGTTTACAACCAAAATTATGTACCCAGAATGTAGCTTTTATAAAACCACAACTGAAAGAATTAGAAAAGGAAAAATCCATACCACTTTAGTAGTGAAGCAGATTTTTCTTTTACACAAATAAAGGTTTCTTTTAGGTTTAATTTCCATAAATGAATTTAGTGTTCATGAGAAAAGAGCTGCCAACTGACTTCTCCCAACTGATCCAGAAAAAATGGGAACAGCATGGAGAATTCTACCCTTTCGGATACTGTCCCATAAATGAGTCTCAACTATAATGTGGCAGGACTTTCAGAGTCTACTTTAGACTTGACCCTTCAATCTTTGCTCTCTCAGTTAAGACTGACAATTATGCTGGTGGTATGTGATTTGGATACCTATTCAAAAGGAACTGGACTCCATGCAATTAATATAGATCACCAATCATTGGTAATTTTCCCCCTCCCTGACCCCGTGCTGAATTGAGCTGGACTTGTCATGATAACCTCTAAGGCAGGACACTATGGCCTTCAAAATCAGTAAGCACTGAATCAGGCCCTACATTCCATTTGCAATACTTTGAGCTATCTAGTGCTCCTTTATACACATTCTGAACGTGAAACATTTGAAATATGTAGAAATTACACTACATTTTCAGGAGTTGTTTTCAATATAAAATGCAGTTGTGGTTCTTTTATTTGGTCAAGAATATTAGAAGACCAAGCACATGAAAATGTATGAACTTGGCATACTCTGTTATATAAAAAAATAATAAAATGTATACTGTATTCTATCGAATAATCTAATTTTTAATTTGTTCCTTTCCTCCTGAGCCTCTTCCAACATTTTAGATTATGTTATTCTTTTTCATTTATTATCCCACCCTTTTAAAATTGGATTATATGAAACCATCCAGAATATTTGTTAAAATAATGTTCTAGTTTGCCTTGGTCTAAGTCAAATCACATTGTAAATATAAAAGTTTTTGTTCACTAACTAATAGATACAATATTTAAATCAGCTTAGATATTTAAATAGACTCAAAAGGCAGATGCAACTGATTAAAGTCTAGCTTGGCTGAAGTCAATGATAAAACTTCCACTAACTTCAGTGAGGCCAGAAATACATCCCCATCCTCTATTTTTCAGATATATTTAATTATTCAAATATTAGCAAACAGAAAATCTACACTGAGTTACCTTACCTCAGTAGCATTTCTCTCTTGTAGTATTAGTTATAATACATTTTTGTGGCATGAAGTAATTATTCTACAATTCAGTTTTGACAGTTAGTGTTCTCTGACACTGAGAAAAGGATTCTTACATTCTATCTTTGTCTATCTGTTCTTTATGCCTGATAAAGTCTTTGCAGCATCTTCACACTGGATGATATTTCATTCCCTTTCTAGCTCTTACATCTGGAATTCTGACAAGGGCCAACTAGCTAAAACTATCTGTGTAATCAAAAAAAAAAACAAATGCAGTCAGTCAGACCTAAAGGACTTATCAAGAAAGTAAATTTTTATTTTACATAAAATGTTCAATTTGATTTGTAACAATGTTCTAAACACAGCCCCAACATTTCAGAATTTCATAATTACCATCAGAATAATAGGTGCTATTTTGGTAATTTGCCATGTAAATTTACTATGTGCACACAATTAGACTATTTGGCCACAATTTCTTTTAATAACAGAAATATCAACATTCATAACTATATAGTCTGTGATATTTCACAATGAACTCTTAATTTCATTTATCAAGAAATACCTTCAGAAAGAAATTTATTTGTATTGTAAAAGGAAGTTACTCACCTTGTGTAGTAACAAAGATTCTTTGAGACGTGTGTCTCCATGGGCGCTCCACTGTTGGTGTCAGGTCATCCCAGCACCACAGATTAGAATTTTTCTAGCAGTATCTGGTCAGGTTGCGCATGCATGGCTGGTGGTGTGTGCCATTCATGTCTTTGCAGTTTGTGCGCATGGCCCGACTCCTTGCAGTTTCTTTGTGTACGCCCGATCGGGCCAAGTTTAATCTGAAGAAGAGGGGAAGAAGGGTGGGTTGTGGACACACATTTCAAAGAACCGTCATTACTGCACAAGGTGCGTAACTTCCTTTTCTTTGAGTGATGTCCCCGCGAGTGCTCCACTGTTGGTGACTACAAGGCAGTACTCAGATAGATGGTAGGTGGGCTTCAGATGTAACGTTTATGAGCAGTGGAAAGTACTGCTTTGGCAAATGATGAGCTCATATCTGATCGTGTTGAGATTGCATAATGTCTCTTGAAAGTATGGTTGGACAACCATGTGGCTACGCAGCAAACATCATTAAGTAATACTCCCTTACAAGGCTGCTGATGCTGTGGTGCTCAGGGAGTGGTCTGTTTTGAAGAGAGTAGCAGTGGACGATGCATGACGCTATAATTCTGGAAATGCACAGAGATGAAACTGGTGTTCCCTGAGAGCACTCAGCAATTGAAGCAAACAGGGTCTGTGATTTACCAAAGGTTCGTGTCTGTTCAATATAGAAAGAAAGCGCTCTCCGAACGTCCAGGGTATGTAAGATAGCATCCTCTCATGAAGCATGAGGCTTTGGATAAACCATGGGGAGAACAATAGGTTAATTGATGTGGAAAATGGAGCATACTTTGGGCAAAAAGGATGGGTCAGGATGAAGTATGACCGTGTCTCTATGGAATATCATGTAGGGAGATGCCACTGTTAGGACAGCAAGTTCACTAACTCTCCTTCTGATGTGATTGCTACTAAGAATTAGGGATGTAAGTGACTAGTTGACTAGTCAACTATCCGATAAGCTCCCCCCAGTCACTTGCTGCCTCTATGAGCAAGTGGCTGCAAAGAGAAAGAAGCAGCAAAGGACGGGGAGGGGAAAGCAGGAACTGGTGCTAAGGGGAGCCGGCTTAAAAGCCAGTTCCCCCCAGCATTGTTTCCATGGGGGAGAGGGGAGACTGGGCACGAGCCGGGAATCAGCTGATTCCTGGCTTGCATGCAGTCCCAGACGCTGCACCTCTGCTTTCAAAAGGCAAAGGTGCAGTGGGGAGCCCAGGCTCAAGCCGGAACAGTTGATTCCCGGCTTGCGCCTGGTCCCCCACCACTGTGCCTCTGCCTGGCATCTCTTAATACATTTAAAAGACACCGCAGCGGAGTTAGCTCCTGGGACTGGGAGTTAACCCAGCTGTAGCTCTACAGTGTCTCTCCCTTATAGACTAATCAAGTAATCGATGAAAATTCCATCAACTTCTTGATTAGCTGATAAAACTCAATTTAACATCCCTACTAAGAATACATTTTTCATAGTTAACAGGAGAATAGGGAAGTCGCCAAAGGTTCAAAGGGTGGTCTGGTTAATGTATTGAGTACCAGCTCCAGGTTCCAAGTTGGATGATAGTGGCCCATGTGGAGGATTAAGATTGTGAAGGCCTTTCAGGAACCTTCTTGTAATGGGATGTGCGAAGACCGAGAACCCATCAATTGGTGGGTGAAATGCTATCAAGGCTGCTAAGTGAACTCTGAGAAAGGGAACTGATAGCCCTTGTTGTTTCCAATGTAAGATGTAATCGAGGATCATATGAAGAGGTGCAGAAGATGGGTCAATCTGATTGCTCCCACATCAGGCTGCAAAACACTTCCACTTGCATAAGTAAGTTCTTCGAG